TCACCGTGCGCCCCGGGGCCGGCTCTGGCACCGCGCATGTGCCACGTACCCGGGGCCAGGCCACCCCTGAGCACTTGGCGGGCGCAGACAAATGCCCCCGCGGGCGCCATGGCGCCCGCGGGCACCGTGTTGGGGACCCCTGCCATAAACCATTCCATTCTCCATCTTCCTAACTCTACATACAAGGACGATACACACACTCACCGTGCGCCCCGGGGCCGGCTCTGGCACCGCGCATGTGCCACGTACCCGGGGCCAGGCCACCCCTGAGCACTTGGCGGGCGCAGACAAATGCCCCCGCGGGCGCCATGGCGCCCGCGGGCACCGTGTTGGGGACCCCTGCCATAAACCATTCCATTCTCCATCTTCCTAACTCTACATACAAGGACGATACACACACCAAAATTACACATCCTGCAGATTGAGACATTAAAATTGATAGGTTACATGAGGTATTTTGTCCAAAGTATCTTGGAGTTATGCATATTTGTATCCATAAATCTCTCCTGGACCACTCAGAGAAATCAGGGTAATTTGCTCCTTTAAAGAGCCAATACCCAGCAGCTTGTCATATTAACTGGTGTTAATAAGTCCTTCACTTCAGACACAGCACTGGATTGGGTTAGATTAGAATAATACCAGTTTATCTGCAACAGGGCACAGGTTAGGTGACATCAAGTAAAAGAGAGAGAGAGTTACAAGAAATCAAAGTGGAAACCCATGTCTAAAAGACAAAGTTAATCTAGCAAGCTACAGTATTTGTTTAAGGTAGCATCGCTGACTTGTGGCACAGTATTGCTAAGTATCCTTCAATCACAGAAGTATGAGGTGCCATTTCCCTTGTCACCTCAGGTGAAGGAAAATTCAGTGGTTCATTGTCCCTCCTCTTTATGGCCCAGTCACCCTTTGAAAAACATCTCTCTTCCAGTACATTGATTCTACTTTGCTCCAATATAGACTTGAAAATATAGTTAGTCCCGTGTGGATACAAATGTATATCCACAGAAGGAACGGCAGTGCTCTCCCGGGAGCCACAGGGGTGAAAGGAGCAGCATGTGGAGCTGCTGCTCCCAGGAGCCAGTGCCCTGTGCTGGCAACTCCTCTGGCATGACTGTACTACCCCCCCAACCTCACCCTCAGACCTGCCTGCATCCCTTCCCCATAGCTGTCTGCTTCACCTGGCCAGGGGCACGCTGGTGAGGCTAGTGCCTGTCCCAGTGGGTAGGGCTGGAGGCAGGACAGCCATCCAGGAGGGGCTGCCAGTGCAGAATACTGACTCCTGGAAGCGACATTCTACTCCTTTCACCCCTGTGGTTCCCAGGAGAGCCCTGCAGTTCCACAGATACTGGTTTATATTTGCGGCTATCCGCATCCACAGGTATAAATTTGTATCGGCACAGGGCTCTAAACGGCATCTCAAGGGGCATTCATAACTCCTCAGGCAGCTTTGTTGCAATGATATTATTGGCCTGTGTGTTAGTAATTTTCAAATAGCCCTAACGGCATAGTTTGATCACTGAAGTAGTGCGTAGGGTGTGAAGACTGGGATGTTCAGAGTTACAAACCCATCCTTGCCTCTCCCCCAGTACCACAGATGAAGGAGAGCAGGTGATGGAGTCGGCAGGGAGATGGGGAGGAACAGCTGTTGAACAAAGCTGGGCTGACCAGCAGAGGAATCTGGTTAGCAGGGCTGAAACATTTGACTTGTATTAGCCGTAAGAGCAGGAGAGGGGTGTGTCTAGACTACATGGCTCCGTTGACTACATGGCTCCATCAGCGGTTCACGAGGCATACGGGAGCGGTCAACAAAGGCTTCCTTTGTCAGCCGCGCCTCGTCTAGACTGCCGCGCTGTGCCGGATCAGCTGATCATCGGCACAGCATGGCAGCCATGTTTATTTTAATGAAGCTGGGATTATTTAAATCCCTGCTTCTTTGAATATGCCGAATAAACTAATTTACATGGCTCTGTCGATGGAGCCATGTAGTCTAGACACACCCAAGGTGTTTAATGCTGCCCCCCAGTCTTCTCCTTCTGTCCCAATACACTCTGAGCTCCCCTCCAGCTCTCCTTTCTGCCCCCATACACTTGGGGCTGGATCACCCTGTGGAAGAGGCAGCTGATACCTTACAGTGATCATAGCAAGGAGGCTGGTGGTCCCAGGTCCAACATGGCCCTCCCATCTGGCTCTCCCCAGGGAGAGATGGGATCGTGGGCTGGGCCCATAGCCCAGCATTCTGCAATAGCGTCTGGGGGCTTTATGACTTCCTTTCCCTTGTTTCCTTTGTTTTTAGAGCTGCTGGCCTGCCTGAGAAATACTGTGCCCAGGTGGAGCGCCGAGCCCTCATTGAGCCTGCCCCTGTGCACTGAGGGGCCCCAGGGCAACCTCGCCCAGCTTGCCATGGCTGCATCGTATGGCCCATCCCTGTCGGGGCCTAGATTGTATATTTTGGTAGTTTCTGAGAGTGTTTTATGAATAGAGATATTTATGGAGGTTTTGGGTTCTTTGCTTTGCCATGTCCCCAAACCAGCCCCACCAGCGAAGTTGGGAAGAGCAACCCCTCTCCAGCTCTGCGGGCTGTGGAGAGAGGCTCACCCATGCTCCCCCGGCGCGAGGGAGGCATTAATGGGTACCACAGCAATGAGACCTCTGCTTCCATGGAGGGGCTAGTATCAGGTCCTGCATTAGCACCTTGGTGGCCCCAGCTCTGCCCCAGGCTTCCCGAGTTACTGTGGGCAAGGTAAATGGGCATTTTCTTCACTGTGCTACAGCCCTCAGTTCTGTTAGCAGGGGCTTTTCAGCCGGCTTGGGCCCAGAGCCACATTGGCCAGTCACTGGCAGCTGGGAAACCCACACTGAGTCCCCACAAGCTTGATCTGTTCTCATGTCCTCATGCCCATCAGCAGAGAATGGGAAAGGCTGCAGTTGGGCTCTGATGTCTGAGCTCTGCCTGCTCCTAATGCAGCCCTGGAAACCCCACTGGGCCCCGGCCCTCTGACCGGTGTCAGTCCCCAACCCCTGCCCTCCCGCTGGCATCAGCCTCAAACCCTGCTGAGCCCCTGCCCTGCGGCCAGCATTGGCTTCAAGGGAGAAATCCATGTAGGACTGTCACCCCAAACAATCCTCTGAACTGTGACTGGATGGCTCTCGGCATAACTGCAGCAGCTGGCACCCCAGGCGGAACGCGTGATCGGCACCCCTGCCTGCACGGCTGATAATGGGGTGACATCATCATCGGGCGCCCCATGATGTCATCATCGGGCGCCATTGAAGGTGGCGCCCTAGGTGACGGCCAAGTCGGCCTATGGCCACAGGCCGCCCCTGAGTGTTGGCTCTGGTGCTGTAGGGAGTGGTGTTGAGAACAGCGCTAGAGTTAAGTTGCAGCCAGATTTTCCTTCACAGTAGTCTAGTTCTGTCCTGCATTTGGTGTTCTGTGGAACAAATACCTGATGCTTATGCTGAGAACATACGTACAGGAAAGAGTCCCGTTACCTGGGCAACGGCCTGGCGCTGGGGCAACAAGAGCAGAATGGCTGAGTGCAGATAGCCTGCTCCTGGCTGTGCTATGGCAGGGGAGCAGGGAGCCACTGTCTCAGGTTCCCCCCCATGGAGAAGCTTTGCCTGACTGAGGGCTCTAGCCCCCATGACCCTGGGACAAAAGATTCTTCAACTGCTCCTCACAGCTCCTACAACAGCATCTGCTGGTTCCCTGGGTGATAAGCACTTGCTGATATAGAGGCTGGGGAGGGGAGGAGAGTGACTGAGCAGGGAATGGAAAGAGGAGAAATCATGGGCGGAGTCTTTGGTAAGAGGAGTTGAAGCCTCAGCTTGCCTCTCCCTCTGGCTCCTGCAGGTTGAGCTCTGTCCCAAGTCCCGGAATAGCTGGTTCCTGTAGATGGCAGCAGGACGGGGCTGAGATCTCAGCTACCAGGCCTGTCCCTCCCTCTCTGAGATGGCAAGGCCCTCAGTCCTGGAGCTCAGGGCTTACTCTGCTGAATAATTCAGAGCAGAATGATACCACAGATCAGAGAGTGTGACATGTCTGCAGCCATGGGGGCCTCAGAGAGGCTGGGGGCCTCCCCTGCACTGAGGCAGATGGGGACAGATTGGCGTAAGCTAAAGCAGCCTGAGGGCTGCCCTAAGTAATAGGCTCGCTAAGGGTGCATCTACACTGCACCCGTAGCTCAAAATAAGCTAAGCAAATTGTGGAGCTCATTTTGAGTGTATTTTGAAATAGCTTATTTCAAAATTAAAATAGAGCGCTATTCCGAAACATCCCTTAATCCTCATGGAATGTCGGAATATTTTGAAGTAACGGGTGCACTGTTGAGACACAGAATACATTTTAGGGATTCCGGAAGTATCCTGAAATAGCGCCGCTGGGTAGACTACCCTAAGTGTTGTGGCAGCAGAGATCAGCTGGGGTGCAGGACTCCTTAGGCTGTGTCATCTCCTGTCCCTGGACACCCCTGTACCAGGGGATCTGCAAGGGTTGTCACAGAGCTGGGGGTTCTGCAGGAGAAAGCAGGCCTGGCAACTCCTCCCACAGCCCAAAATGTCCCAGACTTGTCTGTTGCGGAGACGGATTAAGGCCTGACCGATAGCCACACAGAGGAGAGAGTCAAGGTGGTCTGGGGAGGAGGGCAGGGACTGTGAGACAGAAGAGATGCTGTCCTTAGGCCCATGGCTTTAGAGCAGTGGTCTCCAACCTTTTTACACTCAAGATCACTTTTTAAATCTCAGAACAAGTGAAGATCTACTGCCCCTCCCATCCCCCCCAAGACCCCACCTCTTCCTTGAAGCGCTGCCCTCTCTATTCTCCTCCTCTCCATCACTTGCTATCCCCAGCCCTTATACACCCTACATTGCCTCTTTTTTTTCCGATTTTTCTATGGGAAGAGATTTTTCCAACATTTGGCCTGTCTAGACTGGACCAAATGTCAGAACAAACCCTTCTTTTGGCAGCCCTCTTATTCCTCGTGGAACGAGGAATATAGGGGTTACCAAAAGAGCATATTTGCTCTTCCACTAAAAAAATGGAAGAACAAACGCATCCCTGGATGCAGAAGAGTTTTTCCGGGATATCTCTGGAATCCTGGAAACTCCTGCAGTCTAGCCATACCCTCACTGGGTTGAGACAGGATGTGTGGGCTCTGGGGTGGGCATGAGGGATTTGGGTGTGGGAAGGGGGTGAGAGGCGCAAGTTCTGGGAGGAAATTTGGATGCAGGAGGAGGTGGAGAAGGGAACTCCAGCTCGGGGAGGGGGCTCCAGGCTGAGGAGTGTTGGGGTCAGATGGAGGGTTGGGCTACTAAGCAAGCCACAGGCTTGTGGGCGTTGAGAATGTGAGGGTGCAGGAGTTTTGGGATGGGAGAGGCTCGGGACAGGGGGTTCCAGTGTATGATAGACTCAGATTTGTGGTCGGGGGGCAGTAAAGGAGTGTTATGATGCTGCGCCCAGATAGGGGCTTGGCTCCAATTGGGGGTTTGTTGGCCAGGCTTCATTTTTAAATAAAAGACTGTCAAACACACAAAGTTTCTGCATTGTCTTTATTTATGAGAAAGGCAGGGAACCTTTTTGAGTCAAGGGTCACTGACCCACAGAAAAGTAAGTTGGGGCCACACAAGAGAGATTAAAAAAAAAACTCCTCCAAAAACCCCCACGCCTCACTAATGTGGCCCTAACTGTACTGGTGGGAGCAGGGGACGTGGTACTGGAAAAGGGTATTAGTGAGTGCTGGGGCAGGGGACAGGGTGGCAGTGGGGGCAAGGGACAGGGTTCTGGGGTGGGGACAGGGGGCAGGAGGGAGGCTGCGCCTCGCTCCAGCTGGGCTGGAGCAAAGAGGAAGGGCTTCCCGGCCATCAGGGGAACGGCGCAGCCTCCCTGGGCTGAGTGTGGTGCAGCTGGGCCGGAACAAAGAGGAGTGGCTGCCTTGCCAGCTGGCCATGGTGTTCAGCCCAGGTGTACCACTCTCTACCTGGGCTGGAGCAGAGGGAAAATGGCCCAATCGGCTGGAGCACAGTGCAGCCTCCTCCTCCACAGCCAGCTGGCCGGGGTGTTTCAGCCCTCCCGACCCAACAGATCCCACCACAGCTACTCACCTGTGTTGCTGCTCCGTGAGTAGCTGCTCTGCAACGAATGCCAATTCAAAATTAGTTGTGCGCAGGCGTGCAGTCCAGAAGGAGCTAAAGATCGACTCATAGAGCCCCTGCGATCGACCAGTAGATCACGATCTACCGGTTGGTGACCATGACTTTAGAGTACGTTGTGCGGAATTGGGTGTTGTATCATTCTCCCCTAGGGCATACCCACTAACTTTCCACTCTGCAAAGGCCATGGGGCAGAGGCAGATTAAGATTTATTGGGGCCCTCAGTGCAGAATATTTACACCCCACGTCCCTGTTCTTCCCCTTCCCCACAAGGCCACTGGTAAGAACTGCCAAGGCTGGTGGGGTGAGCTCGGGACCCTTCACCTGTACAGTGTAATGTGACCTTGGAGTAAAAGCCAAGCAGCAAATGGGGGGGGGGGAGAAGGAGCATTGGTGTGGGGGTGTGCAGCGGGGCTTGGGCCAGCCCCACAAAGTGGAACATGGAGACTGAGGCCAGCTCTGTTCAAGAGGTCTAAGGGGAACTCAGGCGAGAGGCTTAGGCCAGCTCCTCGGGGGACTATGGTCACCTTCCCATAAATGGGTTTTGGCTTCCAGATCAGAAAGGGTGAGGAGCTTGGGGGAAGAGGAGAAATAGGGTGAGAGCTCTAGTGCTCTTGTGGGGTGCTCCCAAATTGGTTGGCCTCCTGGGCAGGTACCCCATGGGCCTGTGCAGTAATCTGTCATTGCCTAAAGGAGGCAGACAGTGCTGTCTGGAAATATGATTGCCAAGTCTCCAGGACTGTCTTAGAGTCATAGAATCATAAGGCTGGAAGAGACCTCAGGAGGTCATTGAGTCCAGCCCACTGCCCAAAGCAGGACCAACCCCAATTAAATCATCCCAGCCAGGACTTTAAGCCAACACTTAAAAACTTCCAGGGATGGAGATTCCACCACCTCCCTGAGTAAACCATTCCCGTACTTCACCACCCTCTTGGTGAAATAGCTTTTCCTAATATCCAACTTAGACCTCCCCCGCTGTAACTTGAGACCATTGCTCCTTGTTCTGCCATCTGTCACTACTGAGAACAGCCTCTCTCCATCCTCTTTGTAACCTTCCTTCAGGAAGTTGAAGGCTGCTATCAAATCCCCCCTCACTCTTCTCTTCTGGAGACTAAATAATCCTAAATTCCTCAGCCTCTCCTGGTAGGTCAAGTGCTCCAGCCCCCTAATCATTTTGGTTGCCCTCCAGTGGACCCTATCCAGTGCATCCACATCCTTTTTGTAGTGGGGGGCCCAGAATTGGATGCAATATTCTAGATGTGACCTCACTAGTGCCGAATAAAGGGGAATAATCACTTCTCTAGATCTGCTGGCAATGCTCCTCCTCGTAATGCACCCTAATATGCCATTAGACTTCTTGGCTACAAGGGCACAATGTTGACTCATATACCTAGACTTTAGTAAGGCATTTGATACGGTCTCGCATGCTATTCTTATTGATAAACTAGGCAAATATAACTTAGATAGGGCCACGATAAGGTGGGTGCATAATTGGCTGGATAACCGTAGTCAGAGAGTTGTTGTTAACGGTTCTAAATCCTGCTGGAAAGGGATAACAAGTGGAGTTCCTCAAGGGTCTGTTTTGGGACCCGTACTATTCAATATCTTCATCAATGATGTAGATATTGGGATAGAGAGTACGCTTATTAAGTTTGCAGATGATACCAAACTGGGTGGGGTTGCAACTTCTTTGGAGGAGAGGGACATAATTCAAAATGACCTTAGCAAGTTAGAGAAATGGTCAGAGGTAAACAGGATGAGGTTTAATAAAGAGAAATGCAAAGTGCTCCACTTAGGAAGGAACAACCAGTTCCATACATACAAGATGGGAAGCGACTGTCTAGGAAGGAGCATGGCGGAAAGGGATCTAGGGGTCATAGTGGACCACAAGTTGAATATGAGTCAACAGTGTGATGCTGTTGCAAAAAAAGCAAATATGATTCTAGGTTGTATCAACAGGTGTGTTGTAAGCAAAACTCGTGAAGTCATTCTGCCGCTCTACTCTGCACTAGTTAGGCCTCAGCTGGAGTACTGTGTCCAGTTCTGGACGCCACATTTCAAGAAAGATGTGGAGAAATTGGAAAGGGTACAGAGAAGAGCGACAAGAATGATTAAAGGTTTAGAGAACATGACCTTTGAAGCCAGGCTTCATGAACTGGGCTTGTTTAGTTTGGAAAAAAGTAGATTAAGGGGGGGACATGATAGCGGTTTTCAAATATCTAAAAGGGTGTCACAAGGAGGAAGGAGAAAATTTGTTCCTCTTGGTCTCTGAGGACAGGACAAGGAGTAATGGGCTTAAAGTGCAGCAGGGGAGGTTTAGATTGGACATTAGGAAAAAATTCCTAACTGACAGGGTGGTCAAATATTGGAATAAATTGCCAAGGGAGGTGGTGGAATCTCCCTCTCTGGAGATATTTAAGAACAGGTTAGATAGACATCTGTCAGGGATGGTGTAGGTGGAGTTTGGTCCTGCCTTGAGGGCGGGGGGCTGGACTCGATGACCTCTTGAGGTCCCTTCCAGTCCTATTATTCTATGATTCTATGATATCCAGCTTCTCATCTACTGTAATCCCCAGGTCTTGTTCTGTTGAACTGCTTTCTAGCCAGTCGGTCCTCAGCCTGTAACAATGCTGTGGATTCTTCCATCCCAAGTGTAGGACTCTGCACGTATCCCTTGATGAATCTCTTCAGATTTCTTTTGGCCCAATCCTCTAATCTGTCTAGGTGACTCTGGACCTCATCCCTGCCCTCTAATTTATCTACCTCTCCCTCTAGCTTAGTGTCATCCGCAGATTTGCTGAGGGTCCAATCCTCATCCAGGTCATTAATGAAGATGTTGAATAAAATTGGGCCTAGAACTAATCGTTGGGGCACTTCACTTGAAACCAACCACCAACCTGACATTGAGCCATTGATCACTACCCGTTGGACCCGACAATCTAGCCAGCTTTATATCTAGCTTACAGTCCATATATCCAATCCATATTTCCTTAACTTGTTGTCAAGAATATTGTGGGAGACTGTATCAAAAGCTTTGCTAAAGTCAAGATATATCACATCTACTGACTTCCCCATGTCCACAGAGCCAGTTACCTCATCATAGAAGCTAATCAGATTGGTCACTTGCCCTTGGTGAATCCATGTTGACTATTCCTAATCACATTCCCCTCTTCCAACTGCTTCAAAATGGATTCTTTGAGGATCCCCTCCATGATTTTTCTGGGGACTGAGGTAGGGCCGACTGGTCTGTGGTTCCCTGGTTCATCCTTCTTCCTTTTTTTAAAGATGGGCACTGCATTTCCCTTTTTCCAGTCATCTGGGATCTCTCCCTATCTCCACAAGTTTTCAGAGATAATGGCTAAAGTTTCTGCAATGACGTCTGCCAGCTCCCTCAGTACTCTTGGATGCATTAAATCTGGACCCATGGATTTATCTGTCAAGCTTTTCTAAATAGTTCTTAACCCGTTCTTTCTCCGCCGAGGGCTGCCCACCTCCTTCCCATATTGCGTTGCCTAGTGCAGCAGTCTGGGAGGTGACCTTGTCCGTGAAGCATTGAGTACTTCAGCTTTTCCCACATCATCTGTCACTAGGTTACCTCCCTCATCCAATAAGGGCCCCACACCCTCTCTGATCACCCTCATATTGCTAAGATGCTTGTAGAAACCTGTCTTGTTACCCTTCAC